CGGCCCCGCTGCCCCCCCCCCAGCCGCTCCTGTGGGACACAGCACTCGATGGTGACACAGGCAGCCCCAACACCCTGGGGATGGGTGCTCCTGGGGTTCTGCTCTGGGGGGCTGAGGGGCCTGCCCAGGGACAAATCCAGCTTCCAGGGAGGGGATACAGACAACAGCCGTGTCTTCACCTTTCGGAGAGCCTCCTGCTCAGCGTACTCCAGCAGCATGGGCACGCTGTGCTGGGTCAGGTGCTGCCGCTGGGTCCGGTCCTCCAGGCGTGCCTCATTTGGGAGGAAGCTGCTGGCCCACACCTGGGAGGGACATTGGGACACAGGGCTCGGTTACCTGTATCCCACATTTTCAGGGGTGCCCCAGCCACGCTGCCCATCTGCAGGTCCGTGCTGCCACCAGGTGGAGAGTCCGACATGTGGCAGCCACAAGGGACAGTCCCACAGAGGGGAGGTGACAGGACGGACAGGCATGGGACCAGCTTTCTCGCTGCAGAAAGCTTTAGGAACACGGTGGCGGGAATTCCCGTTCACATTTTCCCCCTGGGTTTGTTGGAGGGTCACCCACAGGGACCTGTGGTTAAACCAGGTCATGGGAGGGACAGCCTCACCTGGCAGTGGGGGTGTGGATTGGAGCAGCCCATCATCGCTCCCTTGTTCTCGAAGATCTGCAGAGGAAGAGCTGCAGCCAGCAGGTCCCAGGCCCGGGGTCCCTGCTGTGGGCTGCCATGGTGTCCCTGGCACACCAAGGAAGCATCCCGCAGGAGAGCGGAGCCTCACACCCACCTGGAAAGGCTCAGAGGGGCATGGTATAGGGACAGGGTACCCAGACATACCTGGGACGGTCCCAACCCCAGATGTTGCCAGAGCACTCAGCCCCCCACCTCCACCCAAGACCCTCGGGGCAGGGAGAGAAGGGCAACCTCCACCAGGCCCGGACCTGCACCCAGGGGTAGGAGGCACCCAGCTCAGCCGCCAGTTCTGCCCACGCGTCGATGACAGCCCGGATCTCTGCCAGGGACATGAGAGGCAGCGTCAGGTCCGACCAGGGGTGGAAGCACATCACCTTGCTGTGGAGAAGACACATGTGGCTGGGACTGTGGGGCATCTCCGGGATCCCCCTCAGCCCAGCCAGGCGCAGTGGAACAGGGGACAGGGATGAGACCCCCAAAATGCCCCCAAAAAAGAGCAGGTGTGCACAGAACAGGCACCACAAGGTGGGGAGCAGACTCAGTCCAGCTTCATCCCACAGGTCCTGGCCAACATCGAGCCTGGACCCCCCCCAGAGCCATGGAGGTACTTACCACACACCCCGGGCTGCTGCAGCTCGAAACAAGGGGTGATCACTGTCACCTGGGGAAGGACAGAGAGCGGATGAGCGTGCGGGGGCAGCACCCATGCCTCTCCAGGCCACCCCGCAGCACCCCCAGGACCTCAGTCTGGGGTTCCCCAGCAGCCTGCTCTCCCCCCAGAAGTTACCAGGCTCAGGAGCATCGGGCTGCAACGCAGGGAAGTCATTTGGGAAGACGAAGGTGCCCTCGTACTGGGGGTTCACCTGCCAGAGCAAGAGATGGGATCACAGGGGGACAGGGTGGGTGGGGGAAGCCCAGACACCTGGGTCTTTGGTGGTACCTCGCCGTTGGCCCGGGTGGCCCCGGGGCAGAGGGGATTTTTGGGGTCCCA